TTTCTGTGTTGGAACAAGCCCAAGTTGTGTTAGAAAGCTTCATGAAAAAGCATCTGAAATGGGCAAAAAAGATGGGCAGGTGGTCCCCTGCACCCGCCAGCTCGGCAGCCCGGGGTTAACGTGGGCTCCCTCTCCGCCGGCCACATTCCTGGGTGTCGGAGCCAGAGATTTGTGGCATTACAGTCACATATTGGATTTCACTTGAGACAGAATGTGAACGAGATTTACAAGCAATATGCAATGTTTTACACATTTCTAAGCATGGTGTCTCCGAGCTGCGGCAGATTGCATGACCAGGGAATGCATTAGAAGGGAGAAATGGGATAAATAAATATGAAAAATCTTTGGTTTGGAGAGACTGATGTCTTGGGTAATCAGTAGTGATGGCAAGGAAATACAATACAAAAAAAAAGTACATATACATTTTCTAGGATCTGCTTTGTTATTTCTTGAAATTGACTGTACGCAGTAGCAACTTTTTTTTATTATTTTTTTAGATTACCAAGCTGTTATCAATTTAAAATGCAGGGTGGTACATTTTTTTAATCTTGAAAAGTTAAAACATATTCTGAGGTCACTTAATCAGTCCTTAATTTGAAGGCTAACTGCAAGACATAAAAGAAGCTTATGAAGGGCAGAGAACTTTTATTCAAAAAAGGCAGAGAAAACATGAAACAATCTGCTGGAGAAGTCAGTTTATCATCTGCCATTAGTCAGTCTTATCAATTATGAAAAATTATAAGCATAGCTTGCTGAATTATTTTTTTTACCAGAATGTGTAACTATTTTATAATGAAATTCATAAAATAGAGGTGATGAACACCCTACCCTTATCTGGCCACTTTGATGCAAGGCTCATCAGTTTGTGGGGTTAGAATCATTTCTGCCTCTATTTTCATCACTCCTGTTTCTTCCTCTTTGCAAGAAAATTCACCTTCAGTGGTAAACGAGGAAAACCAAGTCTCAGGAGTTACTCTTTTGCCTTTCTCCTGATTGCCTAGCCTTTTTTTGTGGGACGATACATAAAAATGTCTTTTCGGTTCACTGTTGGGCATTACTGGGGGTAGGAGTGGGGCAGTCCCAGCTCCCAGGGGCTGTGCAGCACTCGCTGAGACTCCTGGACAGCCCTGAGATACTCTGCTTTACAGGTGGGATAAATTCAGGGAGAGGAGAATTACGTTACATCAGTTTTATAAGTGTTTATGGTTCCCTCTGGCTGCTTTCAGGCAACTTGGAAACTGGGCTTTGCAAGCAAAAGCCATCTGAAAAAAAGTCAAAGCCCATGAAATGTTTCCTCTGTGATTTTCTGGCGTGAATTCCTCCCGTTCCCTCTGCCCACCCCATCGTCTCCCCTGCCAGTTCTCCTAGCAAGCTTACATGTGTGTGTTTGGATGGAGGGATGGAGCCCGGAACCCAAGTCTCTAAATATGTTTTGTGCTCAGCAGTTTCTGAGAACTTTTGTCCAAGGAGCTCCCGCTCGCCTGATACACGTTCTTGAGAGGCAAGAAGTCCTTCCTGACCCGCAGTTCCTTCTCAGCTTGATAAAACTGTGCACAGCTCTACAGTGCTACACCCTGTCAAGGACCACTTCGCAGCAAACCAGAACAGCAGCTAAGCACCCTACCAGTGTTCACTTACACCCCGGTTAATGCAGGGCTGGGAGATGCACCAGAGCAGCTCCTACGAGCTCCCAAAGGAGCAGCGTGGAGGGGAGTGGGAAATAGCCCAAATACCAGCGCTGGCCACTGCCTGCCCGGGACGGCTTCTTGCTGCACTGCAGGACTTCTGGCTGGGATCAGTCAGTGTAAGATGTAGAGTTAGAGGCTATTAAGGAATCAAAGACTCATCATTTCCTAATGCTCTAGGGTTTGGGGTTTTACAGCACTTGCAAATATACCCTTATAAAATACACACAGAAAGTGCTTGTGCATAAGAATGCTTGCATATATATAAAATGTAACTGTGAAATCCTAATGTACTAATTATATCCACAGGGAAACACAAGGAGAAACTGTGAGCTGCAATAAACACGCAGAAGGAGTCATTAATTTGTTAGAGAATTCAGTATTCTTTTTGTAGCAGCAAAAGGTTCAGTATTGAACCTAAATTTCATAATCGCTTTTTCCTTCCCACATCTAATACTGGTCATTCTTAATAACATTGTAGTCTTATGTGAATTTACCGTGTGTGTGCAAGTTTTAATACAGGGCAGATAATTTGCTTCTATGCCTGACATAAATGATATGGTGTTAACCTAAATCATCTTTGATAACCTTCTTTAAGTGCTAGAAGTCAGAAAATAGTTTTTAAAAGTCATAAACCATGCTTCTACCAATATAAGCTTCTATTTACAAGAAAAATGCATTTGGAGAGGAGGAGAATAATACTGTAATCTTGCATCAGTTTGTTTTTTGCAAGGGTCTTTACTTATATTAATGCATTTGTATGCATTGGAAAAAACAGATTGTCCATAAAAAGACAATTACAGAGCACAAACCAAGCATTCATAATATTTTTTTCTGAGATATCTTAAAGGAAGCAACATATGTAAAACAGAAGATTTTACTGTCCTGTTTTTCCACAACCCCTTATAAATCATTCCATAAAAGTAGCCATCCTGCTTTTATTGATCTAAACTCAATTTGAGTTGCTTTGGGATTAACTTTAAAAACTGTTATTAAGTCCCCTCCGCTGCAAGCATTTTCTCTGTGTCATGCAAATATCATTTGAACAGGGTTGATATCTTTTCTATTTGCAGTTACTCATGCATCTTCACTTTCTGGCAGGAAGGATCTAGCTGACCAGAAAACAGGCAAATGCTTGAAATGGGAATTTTTGAGTAGATGTTTGTGATAATGTACTGGGTAGCTTAACCAGCTTATCCCATAGTGTAGATGCCAAATCTGCCTGACACCCAAGATGGCAGTAATATCTGAGATGCTTTTGATTACAGATAATGAATTTCAGGATCATCTATGGATTTACTCTTATTCTTTACAATTGTTCATACATTTACACATGGGAGCAGCGCACACCTTAGGGCGGCAGATAGCAGAACCAGGGTGGTTCTGTTTGTGCCCTCTCAGGTCAAGGTCTGGGCTTTGAGGAGGGTCATTGTCCTGCCTGTAAACTCCGTATTTCTCAGTGCTCACTCTCAGTCTGCCCTGCAACATATCTAAAAATTAGGCAAGTTCCCAGGCTTCCCTTCCCCCCTGCCAGGGCTGGCCTGCCCCTGAAAGGAGAAGCATGAAGACATTTCTCTGGTGCCAGACAGAAGTTATTGGAGAAGATATGAGAGCCAGCACAAATAGTGCCAGATCAATCCCATTCTGCAAGAGATGGGCTACTTTGTACTTTTCTTTAAGGGTTCCAGCTGGCATTGCAAACCTGCCTCAGAATCACAGCTTCCTTTGAAAAATACTCAAAGTGTCATGGCTGGCAAGGAAAGCTTCAAACTGTAAAGCAGATGCACCCTAAAGAGGTGGGAATTGTGAATATAAGGAGCTCCAAATGGATTTGGTTTAGAAAGCAGCTTATCTGATGATCAAATAACTCTTGCTCATAATTTCTGAGCATGTGGCAGGGGGCTCTGGCAGTAACAGCCTGGGTGATGATGGTTCCTTGTAGCGTTGGACCTGCCATGGGCACAGCAGGGAAAAGGAGCATTGTCAGCACCTCGGTGCACAGGTTCCCTTTCCCCATCACAAAGAAATTGGGACCCAAGTTCTTGACTCCCAACCAGCAGAGCAAATTCGCATGCCTCCTATTTTTTTTTTTTTTTTTTTTTTTTTGCTGTCCACCCTGGTACATTCGATCAAGTTTTGCTGGCAGACCCTGGCTGTGAGCTTTCACCTCTGCACCACACCGCAGTGCTGCACTCCCATTTCACAGCCAGTGGCCATGCTGGACACAGGTGGCACCAGGCACGACTCTATGTGGAGGATTTCCCCATAAACCCCTTGGTTGCAGGCTGGTTTTCCACCTACATGTTGGAAATTTGGAAAAAAGTCCTTGGGTTTCCATGAGCAAAACACCTCCTCAGAACTCATCCTGATGTACTGGGTTTGTGCCACCCTGATTCTAAGTTGAAGTTTACTCAACTTTTGCAGTGAAATTCTACAAAGAGTTTAGTTTAGCATGCTTCACACATGGAACTAATTAAGGGAAAACAATTCTTTAAGCTCGTGAACTGTTTTTAAATGTATCCTTTTGAGTTTGCATAGAAGTACAAACATTCTGGAGCAGCAGAAGTCGGAACGTTAATGGAGTAACACAAGAAGCTGCTTTGTATACCCATCAGTGCTGTGGTTCTGCTAACTGTAATTTGAAATAATTTCCTAAGCAGGGCACTTGTGCCACATATTCAAGTGCCAAAACCTCTCTAATAACTCATATTTTCCACATCTATAATCAAAAATTGAAGTAATGCAAGAGCAGATCTGGGAAGATGAAGGGGATAAAGAAAGATACTTGTCAAGCAGTTACAGATCAAAACAAGTTTGTTTGAGAAAATGTTTTTTGTCTTCCTTGTCTCCTGTATAGGCTATTGTCTGAGATAAGTGACAAACAGTTTTAGTTCTTTCTCATCAAGTCTCAAGGTTACAGTGCTTTTTTTAAGTACTGGCATAAATAAAGGAAACCTTAACCCACCCAGAAGTTAGCATTTTATGCATCTGAGGTTAACGTGTAGATATTAAATTCCCCCCATAAATTAAACAGCTGGAGATTGCCATCTTTTTTATGTGCAAAGAGCACCTTGTTAGCAACCAGCACAGAAGTTCATGTTCTCAGATGAGTTACTTTGCCTTACTCTTAAATTGCCACTCATTTTCTCCCTGCATATTGATTTATGGACTTTAAAACTTACTGTTCAAAATTCAAGCTGTGTTCCCCAGCTGCGGTGCTATCAGAACCACTGAACAGGTAGTGTCCCTTCATGTGGTGGTTAAAATATTTTTACTAAATAATAAGGCACCTTTCCTGTCTTTTGTTCCATACAGGATTTTGGAGAAGATGATTCCCTCTACATCACCAAAGTAACAACTATTCACATGGGCAATTACACCTGTCATGCCTACGGCTATGAAGAGCTGTATCAGACCCACATCCTTCAGGTGAATGGTTAGTAAGTGGTGTATATGACAATCCATGAAAACGTTCCCGTAAGCAAAGTTGTATGTTAATTTCCCTCGCACAGAGACGTGAAAAGCCACGCACCAAATTGTCTGTGTACGTGTGTGAATGCAGCTCAGGGTTTACTCGCTCATGCTATCACACAGACAATCAAACAGAAAGGTACCAAGGGGGGACGGGTATAAATACGTGGGCTTCATCAGGTATCCTAACTGTCAATCCAAGCTGCCAATAACATTTCCATAGAGTTAAGAGCAGTGCTTCAAAGCATCTCTTAGACTAATGACTACTTTTGTCAACAGAAGTGTTGCTCCGATAAATTCTTCTTCCAGAAAATCATTTTTGTTGCATGAAATAGCCCAGGATATTTAAATAAATACAGCACAGTGTTTCCAAAACTAGCTGTTTGACTCCCAGCTACGTATCAGATTATCACCTGGTTGGAGTCAGCTTGGTTCACTGAGGACTATTTACATTGGCTAAAGATATGGCCCACTGGGTTGCAAAATGAGGGCAAACCATTTTACAGGTGAGAGAATCACACGGGCCATATTCCAGCATTCTCATTCACCTCCGTCCCCTGGACCACATTTGTGCCTGGTGGAACTTATAGTCAGGCATTTGCTATCTTTCTTCTGACCTCAAACTCAGTCAGACGGATTTAGTTTAAAATTACATTAGCTTAAACCTGCATTTCATTGGGGAACTAGCCTGTGGAGTATCCACCTCCCCAGCAGCAAAATCATTGTCCAGCTTTAAAACCCATATTTACATGTGCTAATAAGACCAGCAGTATCTTCAGAATAGGAGACAGGGTAACCCATTGCTCACTGTGGGTAGATTTTGACGGACTCTGGTGTGAAAGTAGTTAGTTTTACAGGAAAACTTGGTAACTTTATTACAGGGGATATATTATAAAAAAAATTAATATTTAGTTCTTTCTCTAGATGTGTGCAGACCTCCACAAAGGAGAGCTTACACGAAGAGAAACAGTAAAAAGGGATTTTTATGCACTTTAAGAAATGCCATGGTGGATGAGGGGTTTGGGTTTGACTGCAGCTCAGGTCTTCTGGACATGTGTAAGTGCTCCCCCCGACAGCGAGTACCTGGAGGAGAGCATGAAGCATCCGGCTGATTTGAATGAAATCTGACTTAATGTTTCTACATAATAATTTGTCATCTTTTGAGATAGTAAACTGTAAAGGCTCAGCAATGTGGATAACTAGATTGTGCATGCTGCAGCTGGGAAAATAGGTTTCCTTCCTCAAAGTGCTATTTGTTTGATGAATGGCAGTTGAAAGAAAAGCGAGCTAACAACTTAATCCCGTGTATATTATGTGATATATTATGAGGCCTGAATGGAGTTTAGTTGGCAGACAACAATGTAGACTTTATCATCACTGAAAATATAAGGCCCAAAGGCTTTGAAACTAAAACCAGAATGAGAGAAAAGCTAGATGGAGTGTGGGGAAGGGTTGATTCATTTCGTACTCGTGCCTGCCACTTAGATTTAACTCATTGTTGAAAGAACCCATTTTCTTTTTAAATGGAAGTTTCACACCACAGCTGCATGTGGTTTTTCTTACTACTAGAACAGCACTGTTATATAAAAAAAAAACAACTATCCACCTGGGCTTTTTAATGTTGCTATATAGTCACTAAATACTGCAAAAAAATGCCATGTATTCCAGTATCAACTCAGGCTTGCTAGAAAACACTGCAGGGTCTAGAAATCTTTGTCTTACAGCATCTGATATTCCCATGTGAGCCATTAGGTTTTGCAAAGGCAGGTTTTTTCCATTCTTGACGTGGCTGGCTGGCTGGCCACATCACTAAATTCTCTCATTTTTTGCCTGTGTCGTGGCTTCCTCCAGCAACTGATGTTGGGGCAACAGCACCGATGACAGGACAACGTTCCTTACCTTCAGATGAGTGGTGGGGTTCCCAAGGCAGAGCCCTGCTCAGGAAATCCTTCTCATTTTTTTAGTAATTTAAAAGACAAATTGAGGAATTTCTCTTGACAGGAGTAGAGAGAACAAACTGAGCCGAGCTGAATTGAGGGAAGATGCTGAGAATCTAAGTGTAGTTGATGGGCCCTCTTCAGCACTGGGGATTGTCTCTGTCTGTCTGTATCAAACTAAAAACTCCATCTTCAACACAGGAGGTTTTTTGTTGCTTTTCTGTATTGGACTAAAACAGTAAGAGAATGTGACAGAACCAAGTCAGCCAGAACTCAGGTGTATCTGCTTGCCTGACTCCTCCAGGGAGGGACTGATACACTTTTAACATCAAAAACGCAGGGGGTTTTTATTATATGAAAATGATCGGATTTTTTTTTTTTTCTTTTGAATAGAGAAAACTCCAAGTTTCTCTACTGGGAAAAAGTAAAGAAAGAAGAACCAGCTGGAAGTAAAAGCATTTTTCCCCAACTCTTCCCTAGCTCACTGTCTGTACAGGCAGGTGCCAGCTTTTAGACTGTGTTTCAGTTAATTCTGTGTTTTTCGAAGCTGCAGTAACTCTTCCTGTGTCCTTTGATCGTTTTTGTACCACCTGGGCTCTGGCTTACTGTTCCCACTGGGGCCCATCAGTCCAGCTTACAAAATATGTTCCTTTTATTGTCTTTTTCTCCTTAAAAGAATCTGATCCTGGTTATGTGCACACTCTTCATATGCTTTTATCCAACATATTCTCTTTATCTTACTTTCTCCTTTGTCTCTTTTTAGAACATAACAGTGGCTTGTGGCAGCTCATTGATTAGGTGATTTAGGAAATAAAAGCTTAAATAGAAATCTTAGAGCCCAATTTTGAAAAAAATTAAAAGTTTCTGAGATTCAGAGTTGAATGTATTACAGACTAATAAAATTTATCAAAACTTTCCCCGTAGAACACCTTGCTTTCATCCCAGTATGTTGCGACAGTTGTTTCTTTTCTCACCCAAGGAAGGTAAAACCATTTCATCGCAGTCAGATCCCGCTGGAGGACAGGTTTGTCCACGGCAGGCCAGCAGTGTCCTTGTGATGCTGCTGTGCTCGTGCCACGCACGTCCACCACTACTGAATTCCCTTTGTGTGAGCCAGTTCAGGATCTAACAGATAACACGGGCAGATCCAGATGCTCGTTTTGACAAGCAGAGATGAGAATCCTGTTAGGCAGAAAAGGTAAAGACCACCAGATGAATGCCCCAAGCCACTGGCTCACATGTTCTGGGCAAGAAGCATAAAGCACACATGTGAAATACAGCCTACATGTGGCATTTGGTAGGGTAGGTTTGGGCTGAGCTCCTCCATCTTAGGATTCACAACAGTGGTAAAATTTAAGTCAGTTTATTTATACAGTGCACTGAAAGGCAGCACAAAGTTTAAGAATGAAAAATTCATCTTGCATGCTGGTATCTTTGATCAGGAGAAGTCAAGAACAGTAGGAAAATTATGTTCTCTCCTACGTATGGATATTGCTTGGGAAATGTGTACAGCATACACTGACTGTAGGGAGGAAATGCAATTTATCACTTTCAAGAGGAAAAAGAGTTGCTGAGGATAAAGAATCTCATAAAATTGTAATCAACTATGAAAATTGATAGTTTGCAAATCAAGAGACTGCTGAGTGTAGGGCATCATTTTCCTTGGTCCTTGCACTCTGGAAAACATCAGCATAAATCAGAATATTGTATTCCTTGAAAACAGTTTTAAAAAGCCATTCAATCCTCAGCCCAATTATAAGGGTCCAATAGGACAAATTTTCCAGTAACAGAGAGATGTTTTAAACACGGATGTTTTGTTAATGTGGCTTTTCAAGAGAAAACAGATAATGCTGCAAACTCCTTTCAAATCATAAATGGAAAGATTAAAACATCTCAAGTAAATGATTAATCCATTAATTATTACTAAGCCCTGGAGTATATAGGTCCTATAGCAGCAGTGTATATCTTTGGGGCTTGATCCCATCATCTGTGATCATCATGTGCTTTATCACCTGAGCTGTTTTATTGTAATGAATTGGTCTGCTCACAAGTAAGGTACTACTCAGTATGCAGCAGTAAGCAATCCACCCAATCTCATACTTGTTTGAATGCCTCTTTTTTCCTACTTTGCTTAAGATAATAGCATTTTTATATTGCCCTTGGCTGCAGACACAGTAATGGTTAGCAATGATATATATTCACCAAGGGAAATAGCAAAGGATAATCCATATATTCCAAAGTCTGGAGCTGAAATCTTTGCAACTTTAAAGTAAAATGTGCTTACTTGGAATGTATTAATTTGTAGCAAGGACAATAAAAATGCATTCTGCAGTTTGCTGTTATCACAAGGCAGTTAGTTGTATGCAATAATTTACCTGTGCAATGAATTATGTAAGACAAGGGAGAAGAAATAAAAAGTTTAAAAATGGAAGGAGCAGGAAAATGATAAGAGAGCAGGAATGGAGGTGCAACACATATTTTTGTAGGTGAAAACAAGCAGTTTCCTTATTAATCACTCTTGGAAAGACACCTTGCTATAATTTCAAGTTAAGCGAATTTTCATGCAGAACATTGATTCAGTGTCTAGGACCCCTGAGCTACCTTCTGCAGTATAAATCTATTGTGTTTTCAGCTTTGCAGGTAAAATATGTGGATTACGCACATGCAGACTAACATGGTTTGAGGCGAAAAACTGAGAGATGCAAGTAAACTCTGCTTTGCGAAGGAATACCCTGTTTCTGGGGAGCATGATCATTGTGAAAGTCGTTGGGAGTGCTGACACGTGTGCCCACGTGAAGAGGAAAGCCTAAAGCAAACCATTATCAGAAAATATCAACCCATGCTGGTTTTGAGAGCATTAACTAGGTGATGTCTGGGACAGGCTCTATCTCCTTTAAGAGTTGGTGGGTGAGAAAAAAAAAAACGCTAGGCTTGGAGTAAAATGGCTCCAGTGCCTTTGGCTGCTTGGGATGTTAGAGAAGGTCTTGAGCCTGGCTGGGGGATGTCCATCTCATCTGGAGCAGGTGGCCGTACCCTTGAGGAGCAGGGCTGGGCATGGGGCACAGGACCTCGCAGGCTTTGCTCCAGGGCTGGTTTTCCCATAGCTTGCTGCAAGCGTGGGCACACAGGTCTGCCTGCAAGAGCCTGGGGCAGTAAACCCTCAGGCAGGGCCAGCCAACATTGCTTATGGACTGGAAGAGGCAGGTTGTGCCATCAGGAGACTGAGGAAAGTAGGGACATTAAGTACTAACTGTCAGTAGTCTTCACCAAGATTTGAGCATCTTATCTCCTTGGGTGTTGTAAGTTTTTTCTAATGCATTTGTAGGAGACAAGCCATCTCTCATCTGTGAGTCTGAATAAATCACATAGGCTTTCACTGGATCTCAGTTCCTAAATCATTTTGTTCTAAAAATGTTACTAGTAGCAAGCAAATCATAGGTGAGACAAGCATTGAGTGCAGGACCTTCATAAAATTCTGTCAAAGTGGACAAAAATTACTATCTTTATCCTATCACGCCTGGAGAACACTGAGTTGAAGAAATTTAAATTAATTTTCTGAGGTATAGATGGAATGAGAAGCTCCTGACTCTCAGTCGTATTCCCCTGGATTGCTTGGGCACTGTCTCTTAAATAAACACCGAGATGGCTCTGACAGCTGCCACCATTTCCAATGGCAGATCGCTTCCATTGCTCACCTTCCGCTTGATCTGACACCTCCTGAAGTCAGGAGGAGCTGCAACCCTGACGGTGATGGGAGGAAGAGAATATAAGAAGCTAGTAAATGCTTTTACTTATAATTTGAAAGCTCAATTTAATAAAACAAACCTTATCTTTTTGGTAACCTCCTGATTAAAAAGCTCTTGGATGGTGTTTTACTCACTGCCCTGCAAGTTACAACACATTTTCTTTTCTTCTCAAGTAAAGGAAATAGAAGACGAGGAGGTAAACCCACATGTCCAGTGCAGAGGTGGAGTTTAAAGCCATTCCTTTGCTAGAAATCCCCATTTATTTGTCTCTTCAGTTGCCCCTAGGCTTTTCCGATCAGATTACACTTGAACAATCTCTCGCTTTTAAAGCTATAAAAAACAAGTAGACTTGAGGGCTTTCTATCAGGGCTGGTTTCCTTCCAAGCTGATGACTCAGCTCTGGTTAATACTTGGCAGCTGGTAGGTAAGACGGAAGTAAAATACATCTCTCTCTGGTAAGACCCATTAAAAAATAGAAATAGAAAGATGGAAAGTGTATACTAGTGAATGTAATTATTGAAACTATCCCCATATGGATATATAGACACCTAGCAAACTGCAAACACAGGTTTCATATAATTCTAAAGCAACTGTTAACACAATTTAATTTTACCATTCCTGGAGCCTAGTGATGGACTATATAAAACACATCAATGAGTTAGGTGCCTTAAGCCAGTGATTTCTAGTAGAAGCTTGTTATTAATTCATTCAGGCTTTCTTAAAAAAATACCCACAGATTTTCCTCAATCCTCCACTAGTGCCAGCAGAAGGTATTGATTTTCCTTGAGGGAGAAGTTTGGCCCCCACATATCACATCCACATTTGACTCTGACAGTGGTTTTACAAAACTGGACACCTTTCAACATCGTGAGTCCCAAAATCTCCTAATATGGTAGAAAAGTTGACCACTTGATTATGAAACACAGCAGTCCATGACCACCCATCAAATACTATCAGTCATGATATGGCATATCCTCACATTTCCTTTTATTACGTCCCTTGAGGTGAAAGGGAGGAAATTCCCATTAATGTTTTTCACTGCTAGTGCAGTATTGCAAATTCTCTTTAAAGTATGTAAGTAAATTGTTAAGAAATAGTTAATGGCTGATATTAAGCCTTGTTGATTTGAGCAATGAAGGCAACATGATTGAAAATCAATGAACTTGTTTGAAATTGTAATATAATTAGTAGCTCTTCCAATTGAATATATTAAATAGTTCAGGGGGGCCTTCCTTAAACAAGGTAAGTCATGTTTTGAAAGCCTCTCAGAAAAAAAGACAAGTAATTTATAAACACTTTAATTGTTCAGAATAACAGGTAGTAAAGGTACAAGCTATTTCCTGATGGATGTTTAATTAAAATGTTGAATAATATGCTACTTCTAAAAGGCAAGAACTGCAGTTCCTTCCTTACTAGATTCGGAGAAGGTTTGGAGTTTATGTTTTAATTTTTAAATGTGTGAGTACCCACCTTAAGTTTTAATCCAACTTTACTTAAGCTCAATCAGTCACTTAGTGAAAGAAAGCACAAACAAGCGAGAACAGTCTAAATACAAAATCAGATATCAAGGTTGCTCCCTGGCGTTAGTTTATTACTTTACAATTTTCTATTACTATTTTCTATTTTCTGCCCCCAATGCTGAACTGTAGAAAAATGCTTACTGAAGGGCAGGACGTTGCTGCTCTGCCTGGCTCTGGGATCAGACCTCTCCCGCAGCACCTGCAGGTGAGCTAAAAGTCGCCGATTCCTTGTTTCCCGCAGTGCCGCCAGTGATTCGCGTCTACCCGGAGACACAGGCACAGGAGCCTGGCGTGTCGGCAAGCCTCAAATGTCACGCCGAAGGCATCCCTAATCCCCGAATTACCTGGCTAAAGAACGGCATTGATATCATGCCAAAACTATCCAAACAACTAACGCTCCTAGGTAAGAACAGAATTTTGATTAATTATAGTATTGTAGACGGGGATTAAAGAGGATTATTTTGCACTTTAAACTAGAAGTTCTTGTACTTTTGCTAAGCCACAGTTGTTGGAAATCATGTTACAAAACCCCTTGTCTTTCTTTTTATCTTCTTCTCCTGTGAATTTCTCGGGAAATACAGTATTGATTGATATAAGTGGTAACAGGATTTGTTAAAAGACAGTGTGCCTGGTTCTCCACTGCCTCACCTCATGTGTACAGCTGTGCAAATCAGAAGAGAAACACACTAAATTATTTGTTCAGGTATGAGCACTACATTGGATGCAAGTCAGCTGAGAATCAGGCTGTGGTTCACCTCTTCTCACACCCACCTCTACAGCGGGAACCAGGCTCCCGGCTCCTGCTGGTCCTTCTTCAAATGAGGGTGCAACAGACACAATGAAAGGCAAAAACATTTATTTGCAATTTTCTGTGTAAAAATACACCCCCTACGCCCCCCAGTCTGGCTGTGGTGCATTGCAGCCCTTAACCAGTGTTGGCAACGCAGGTATCCCTGCATGGTTGGGTGCGATATCTCCAAATCTTCCAAAGGTTTTAGGCAACAGTCCTGCTGCATAAAGCAAAATGATAGGAGGAACTGTAGAGAGGCCCCTTCCAAACCCAAATGTTTGGTGATCTGATGAAAAACAGTTTGCAAAATTGAAGTTAATCTTTCTCCACAAAAGCCAAAGCATTTTTTTAACAAGAAGAAAGAAATGAAATGCAATTTATTGTTTGCACTTGGGATCATTCTTTGTTCGTTTCTGGTGCAGAGTGTGTATGTGCTAGTGGAAAGAAGCAAAACGTCAACTATCATGAGAATCTCCCAAATACCTCTAGTTATGTACGGGGAAACATGGTGCAGTGAAGCCACCCTGTTGAGCTGTTGCCAGGTGGCTGTGGTAATGGAAGGAAATTAAGGGCAGTAAAAGCAATTAGCAGCAGTAAGGAACTGGTTTTGGGTGTCTTTCCTACAGCAAATGGAAGTGAACTTCATATCAGTAGCGTCCGATATGAAGACACTGGTGCCTATACCTGCATTGCTAAAAATGAGGTGGGAGTGGATGAGGACATATCTTCACTTTTCATAGAAGATTCAGCAAGAAAGACCCGTAAGCTTTATTTTCCATGTATTTATTTCTTTAAAGAGTATTTAAATGTAATGGTTTACATGCAATTTAATAGTTCAGTCCATTGCATGCAGTATGTTGGATCTTTACTCGTAAGGTCATGACAATTTTGTCTGCGCTCTGATCAGAGGATTGTACACTGTTTTGGGAGGAATCATGTGGGGAAGGTAAAATCTCATCCAGGATGATGGTGCCTTTCATGTGCCAGAAGCATACTGGGTGTGGTATGGGTAACATCTTTACTAAAGTAACAAATTGGCAATCACTTTAAATATCAGAGAATCCAAAACATATTATTTTGTCAAAATATATGCAGTTTCAGAGAATAAATTTCATTGATTTCTGTACCAGACTTCTTATTTTAAAGCCAGTTAACAGTCAAAGTTCTCAAATATTTAGATACTTGAAAAATGTTCTGACTGAATTATTTATTTTACCTGTATTTACATCACTAGCTGGCAAAATAGGTTTTCCTCAGTGTAAAATTGTCTTCCACTTCAAAGGCAAATATTCTCCCAGCTGCATGTCTCCCGTAGGAGTGCGGCAGTGTTATCTTGACCGCACCGTCCCCGAAACACAATTAATGAAGGAGGTGATTAGTTGCCCCAATGGAAAAGCTCCCCAAGGCCTGATCCTTCCTAATTCTGCTGTCTTAGCTACTTGGGAGATTGCCTGGGTTTATGGTGACACTAAAAGGCTAGGTACAAATGGGATTTTTGCTACTTTTCTGGCTGTTAATATAGAGCAAGAATTGAAAACTAAGTTAGCCATAAATATGTGCTCTCATGGCGATTCTTGGGAAAATATATTCTATTCCTTATTAAACAGATTTATGTACTCTTGTTAATATCGGTCGTTTTCCCTTGAATACTTGAGCAAGGGAAATTACATTATGTTGAGAAATAATTGGATGTATCTTAAACAGAAATTCAAATGCAGATGTACTTTCAAAGACTATTTGAATCCTAAAAGAGAATGTAGTTGCTTGAAATTCAAGAAGAAATGCAGCGAAGTGTATAGCTGATGTACCTACCAGTCTCAGGCTTCTGAAAGATGTCATGTTTCCTTATTGAACCTGTACGGAAAATCACAGCCTGTACCATACCTCCAGTTACATTTGAAGGTAACATCTTCTCTTTAGTAGGATTTTGATCTTTGCACAGGCTAAAGTTGGCTTCATTTCAGGGAAGATTTTTCCCATGTCCAAGTTTTAGAATTGTCTCTAGAAGGAGCAAATGTGTTTAGAAATATCTATCTTTCCTGATATTTTATTTGAATGAATGTTACAAAGTTTTCACAAATTAAACAGTTCATGTAAACATAAGTATTATTTCAGTTACTTGCTACAATGAAAATTTTGACATTGTTTTGTTGTTTTTTTCTTTTCCTGATTATTTTCTGGCTTTCCCAATTTTCTGATGCTGCAGTTGCAAACATACTGTGGCGAGAGGAAGGTACTGCAGTAAAGTTCTTTTGTCGTAGTGATAATGTGCTTGTCTGCTTTAATAATTCCATGATGGGCCATTCTCCACTGACTTGCCACTAACTCTATCAACTTTCACAGTTACCAGATTAAGTACAGACCAGACATTTAAAAGCTAAACTATTCAAATAAGAAATGTCACTCTCGTAATATAAATTGTACTTATAACTTCTTACATTTTCCCACTATGAAATAATAGATGACCATAAAATATATAAAAATGTGAATTTTATATAAACTGCCACAAATGTGAGTAGCCTGAGATTCTCAAGCTGCATTAACAATTGCATAAGTGTCAGAAGTGCTCCCAAATTACCATAATTGAACAAGTAAGACATAAATTCAATACGCTGCATTTTTAAGCAAGTAATTTAAGCTCTTCCTCCTCAGTAGCACATATTGATGTTTACTAGATGGGCAACAAAAATTGTGTTCTTGACTGTTAGGCAAAAAAAAAACCCACACAACAGGTTTTGCTTCCCTCTATCAATGCAGGGTAAAGGTGGCCCCATTTCTCCTCGGTTTAATTGGCAGTTAAGATCTCTAGTTTGATCAAATTTATAGTGTGCCCTGCACAAGGTCAACATCTGTGTATCTCGAAGCCAAATTAAAAAAAAAAAAACAAAAATACAAAAAAAAACCAAAAAAACATCCTAAACAGCTAACTGACTCAAAGATATTATGGAGGCACTTGAAATGAAAATTTATTTGATTTCATGCACATTTGCGCTGTCATAATTTCCAAACGCATCATGCAGAGGCCCGAGGAGCTCTCAGGCAGCTTGCCCACCTTGGTAGACGTGGAGCCTCCAGGCTCCTGGGGGCTGTGAGCAGGGCACCTGCTTATCAGAAAAAGGTTCTTGGATTAAAGTCCAGGCATAAGCCAGTTCTTGCATCTGCCAGTTGTATACGAGGAAGCTGAGACCTTGGTGTCCTTCCAGCCTTGTGCAGAGGGTCTCTGTGCACTTACAAACAGCTCCTGGCCGTGTCCCGCTGCCCATTGCAAACACGCTCATTCTGCCTTTGGAGGGTGCAAACTCCCTTCCCTAATTAGTACCTCCAGGTACCCAAAACAACAGTTGTGCTTCATGCCCTTGGCTTGGAGCTTTCCAGATTTCTGTGGCTTGGCCCAAAGGGGTTTAGGGGCAGAAGGGAAGTGGCAGCCCTTAGTGGCCGGTGTTACCTATGCAGACACCTGATGCATTCCCACTGTCCCGCCATTGGCTGCAGACGCATACATGCAGAAAATGCAGCTGGCTGGAGGTCATGAGACGTGGCACAGCTACCTAAGAGAGCTCTCCAGCACTTGTCCCCAAATACACCACCTCCAAGTGCCTGGTGCACGGCGATGAAGAGCCTCTTTACTGCTGATGTTCCTGAAAATGGCGTTATGGGCAATAAGAATTGCTATTTCCCTTCTGCTTGAAAGTGAAATCTCTAGTGCATCTAATCAGTCCAGCATCATCTGCATGATGCTACATGGCTGTTTATATACTGCATCCCTTATGCTCCCTTTTAAAGAAAGTAGTCAGATAACCCTACCAGATGTAGAAGTATAGTAATATTTAAAGAACAACTATGAAGTTGGTTGCAGGAAGTCTTATTATAATTCTGCTAAACAATATGGACTTACTGCTTATCATCAACCTTGCACATTTTAAATAAAAGTATGAGCAATGTCCAGGGAAAACATGGGCAGTAAAAGCAGATTTACTATTGATGTTCCTAAACAATTCAGTATCTTTAAAGCAGGTTTATTCCCCTGCCTGGGTTGTTCTATAGTATTTGATCAGCACATTCATTCTAGAAGAATCCATCGAACATACTTTAGCATGTGAAATCTTGGCACAGAGAAAGCTGAAAGAGAGGAATGGTATTTTTGTTTTTGCATTTTAATGTATGCTTTCAATTCCATTAAAATGAAAACTTATGTGTAGGTAGCAATATTAACACATGGATTGGTAGACTTGAGCTCCTTTAAAATGATCACATCCTCATGCTCACAAAGTCTGTAGTACGTAAAGCTATTGGGAAAATATCTAGAAAGAATATTTTGTAGAACAAGCTTTTGCCGCAAGTCAAAGATTTAACACGAGTAGTTGGTCATTTTAAAAGTCAGTCTACCAGTCTGTTCTCAAAACCTTTCCCAGACCATGCACAAGTAAAACCTCACGAAATGAGTGCACATAGCATGACCAGCCAGTTACATATGGAGGTGGAAGCATGTGTAATATTTACTCAGTGTACAAACTAGTTTTTAATTTTGTACAGAGGAAACTATGCGTAGCCCAAATGTAAGGTAGAGATTTGTTTTCATGCCAGTGTTCACTTCTGCAGTAAGTGTTGCATTCTTTATAGCTGGATAAAGGGAGTATATCATGCCAGCAGGCAACCATCAGTTATATGAATGTATGCCTTTAAAAAACTGAAAGCTTTTTTTGTTACCAAATTTAAGTTCTAAAATACTTCCAAGCATTTAGATTTAATTGAGGAAAATTATTCAGTTATCAGATCAGAGGAGAGCATTCCACAGTGACAAATTTGCACTTTCATCTCCAAGGAGGGAAATACAAATGTACACTCAGATTTGTATTCCTCAAATAAAGAAAACTCTTGTTGTCATTAGGTGCCCTCCTAATGTTAGAGTCAACTTCATCCAAAATGGCTCAAATAAGAACTGTTATGTTTAGGAGACCCTCCTCATTCTTAATGGTGTTTTAGTTATATTAGGGGTTTTTTTATACAGAGGAGGAATGTTGCCTTTTTTAAAGCCTTTATTTTTTTGAACTAGTTGTGTCATCCAACCTGAAATGTCTTCAACTAAAAAGGGAAAAAAAGAAAAACCCTCCTCATTAGTCCCCCCAGTTCCCAATCTAGTATCTGCCTCACTAGTATAAATAACACAACAGAGCAAAATTCTCCACTGCCCGCATCTGTACTAAAATAATTCCCCAGACCGAGGAGTTTCAGCAGTATGATCAAGAGTGGAGTCTGTTTCACCAATATCCGTGAGATTGTTTAGAGATGCACCCCAATCAAGACTTGGCAAATACTTCAAAAGTCACAAGAAAACACCGGTTTGTCTAGTAAAAAACCTGCTTTGTCTAGAAGCCTGTGTGAAGAGTACTCTCTGAAAAAGTATTTTGATTTAAATTGGTAGACTTTTTTAAAAAGAGAGTACCTGAATGCTATTAGTAATTTTTATCATATCTTAACCAGTCAGCAGAAAATCTTGCACTTGTTTTACTGTAAAATAAGTAGGGGGTCTTGAAAGTCACTGACTCTAAACCAACTGGGGTAAAATTACTATTGAAGTATTTTTGTGTCTAATTAAGGCCTTAGTTCTGAAATACACCCTCATTGTAATAGGATCATCAGAAAAAATCACACTGCTATCGTGCATGAAAATAATAATGAGCATCTTCACAGTGGTCATAATTTGTTGCCTGCCTGTTTTCACTTTGTAGGATTAAAGTCCTTTACTCATGAAAATATGTGCACTCATTCCAGCCAGGGTCAAATTCTGCCCTCTGATGTATTCACTCAAATCCCACTGAAGCAGGTGGGAGTTGTGTGCATGCTGTGAGCGCAGATTTTGGTCCAGCGTGCCTGAATGGAATGTTTTAACAATATACTCAGGAAAACAAATAGCCCTTTGTCCATAAAGATAACTTAGTTTTCAATGGAAGTTTGGTAGCTTTTGTTCTACGTGCATGATCCCTCACTGTGGCATCATATTTAAGGATCATGGCTCCTGTACCTGCCTGATGCCCTAACTGGGGTATTTCTGTGGTATGGTTTAGAGAGACTCAACTTGAACATTGTCAGTACAGCGGACACCACATGCTGAGACATTGTACTCTGAAGCCACTTATTTGGCACAAAAAGAAGGGGTTTTAGCACCAAAAAAACCCTTCTAGCCTTAATAAATACTATGTATTTTGCAAAATTTTCCAAAAGTGTATTTATTCAAATTATACATGTTTTTACTGTGAAGTTTTCGTATGAAGATATTAGACCTCAATCCTGCAAACACTTAAGAGATGTGAGAAACTCTGTAGATGTGAGCAGTGTTTAGAGCTGCCACCGCAGGAGCAGATGAGAGAATTGTAATGCTGAACGTTGTTCAGATCTGTAGAACAAAGACCTTATTTCTCCATGGGTAAAATGTAATTAATTAGAAATTACAAATTATCACATCACCATATCGTTGGCAGATAAGTACACTATCAACATCACTGGGGGTGACAGTGGTCATTGCAAACACATACTGGTGGTGGTATGAAAAAATTAAATGATGCTTGGATCTTTCTAACTAGAGTGTTTGAAAAGATCCTGAATATTTCTTACAGATGCTCGATACGGCAATTGCATGTAGCTGAAGAACAACTAAATTATCAGTGTCTTAAGGCATTTCTGCATGACTGAAATGATAAAATGCAATCTCCTAACAGCAAAGCAATGACAGACATCCAGTTTCCCAAATCTCCTGGAATGCCCCAGTTGGATAAATGAGTGCTATTGCAATGCTGAACTGTACATTCGTGAATTACAGTTTGCAAGATTTCAAAAATGTATTTGTTTTGGTGGCTATGGTTAGTTCATCAAAATAATTTTAAGAAAATAGAGAAATATATATATTTTCATTCATAGAACAGATGTTAAACACTCCTGTTTTGCATCACAGTTGCAAGAAACCAAGTTATCTATAACAAAACAGCCTTCAGGTTCATTTTAACTGAAGCTTCTCTCTCAGTTCTCAAATTATTAGTAAGCTATTTTTAATGAAAATAGAAAAAACAAAGTCATAATCTGAGGGAGTTAGCAATGCAATACAGGGGCTTCTTGTAATCAAATCACACTTTGGTATTTATGCAGAAAACCTGCAGGTAATTATTTGTGTACAACCGCCACCACCAAGGCAATGCATTTTGGAATGTGTCTGTACCTCTTCACTCCTTGAAGCCCTCGTTGTGACATGAAATTTGATTTTGTGAATGCACCGACTGCATCTGACCATGACCAACTTCTCTGTAAGGCAGATTTTGTTTGTTGGGGGAGGAGGGAGAGTTCTTAAAAAAAAGTCCTAACAGCTATGGATACAAACCAAAAAAAAAATCCTACTCCTTTTCCTTTGTCCCCCTTCAAGGCCTGAGTGTTGGGAATATGTTCTATGTCTTTTCTGATGATGGGATCACAGTCCTGCAGCCAAATGAATGTGAAATCCGGAGACACATCAGGCCCGAAGAGAGGATTTTCACAAGTTATGTAAGTCTTAAACCTGGCAGCTACAGCTGAGAGCTAGGAGACCTTCTCTGAATCTTCTCAAGGGTTGTTATTGCTAAAGGACCCATTTGCTACAGTGATGGTGGAGCTTGGTGAGCTTCATGTGGCATCCCTGAGGTATATCATCTCCTCTTGAAAATTAAGGGAACCATGTATGTTACTAGTCTGACATGGAGAATTACTGACACGCTGCAGACTAGTTATTTTGTCAAAATGTCAGCAAAGACTTTCACTTGTGCTGTTTGACCTAGTTACATATCCATACCCAAAAGCTGTAGCTGGGCTGTAGGGAAAGTACAAAAGTCAGTAGCAGAGAGATGCACATCACACACTGGGGCTAACTGGCCCCTTTTACTGCTGGCTCCATAGGCAATAGAGTGGGCTACTTTCTGCCCTTCGGAAATATTTTCCCAGGTTAAACCACAGCAGAGAGGTGAGTAACAATGCGTGGAAGATGGTTGTGCCATCCTGGTCCCCTACATCTTCTGCTGCTGAACCAGAGACCCACGCCATCCTTGTTTGCTGTCTGGCATTTTCTGCCAGCGCTGAGTTTACCTGACCCTTGCTTTAGAAAATCATAAGGAAAATTTGTTCAGGTGTCAGTGTACGTCAAGCACTGGCTCGTGCACAGAGGTGCTCGACGTGGCAAGTGGGATAACATGTGCCTGGAGGCCCTGTGAGGCCAGTGTTTTCAGTGACCTGTGTTGTGTACTCTTGGGTGGTAACACACATCATATATATGCTCATGAAACTATCAAATCTCATAAAATACAGGTGCTGAAATACATCCCCAAATGCTTTCTTAGTCACTCGTTTATTTAGGTTTCTTGTAAAGGCTCAATTTACAGGGAAAACTGAGAATGTGGCTTCCTTCTGAAGAAAAGGACTCAGCCTTGCTTTCAGTTTGGGGAGGAATAAAAGGGGAGAATCACTATCATGAGCCCTGCAGTCTGCGTCAGGCTCTGCTGCCATGGGTCAGGATCTTCTTGTGAGTCTGTATGCAGTATTTTTTAAATCTCAATAAATTTGTGGTTGATACTGGGGTTTTTTTCACTGAGTTTTAATACGTCTGTGTGGAAATACAGACTGATGCTCACCCCAAGACTGGTCCTTAACATGGGCTTAATATTATTAAGCCACACTTGAGCTGTTGCTGCTCAAAGACAGAAATCTTGTGTTTCTTTTACAAAGAGCTGTAAATATTGAAGAGGTGGATCTGGAGAAACAGCTTGAAAAGAACAAAGGAGAGAGGGCACTTAAGGAAATAATGTCAGCACAGTGGTGGCCGTAAAAGGGATTTTTAACGTCATTACTTGGCTGCCTTTCAGAGAGACCTCTAAGGGTTTCCTACAGATATCATAGGGCCTTTTTCCTTGATACAGGGAGGATTGACTTTTTTTTTTCCTGCTTTTAGTTTCTTGAGTGTTTGTCACATAGACAGTGACACCAGCCTGCAACTTTAGGAGGGTTTCTACAACAAAGATTTCTTCATTTATTATTAGAAGGCACAAAAGCAGGTAGAGCAGCTGCAGCTGAGTGCTGTAGCAGAAAGGCCGGCGACCTTTCCTTGCTCCCGTTGGTTTGGGTGGATGCTGTGTTGTGAGAGCACAAGCCCCGCTGCACAGCCGAGGATGAGGGGGGCAGTTTGGAGGCTGACAGGTACTTGGCTGCTCAAACAGCTGCTGGAAACCCAAGGTTGAGCTCTTGTAGCATCTTTTAGCTTGCAGTAGTGTAGATCCCCAGCCCGGATCTGGAGGGCCATAAAGGAAAATGCAGCCAAACTGTTGAGTCTTGTGTCTTCAAGCCTTACGCGTTGTCGTGATTTAAACCCAGCCAGCAACCAAACACCACGCAGGCGCTCGCTCACCCTCCTCCCACCCTGGGGGCTGGGGGAGAGAATTGGAGGCGTAAAGGTAAGGAGACTCGTAGGTTGAGATAAAAACAATTTAATGATTGAAACTGAATAAAATTAAAATAGTAATCATAATAATAGTAGTAGGAATAGAATATACAAAGAAGTGATGCACAATACGAGTGCTCAGCACCCGCTGACTGATGCCCAGCCCATTCCCGGCTAGTGATCCCAGAGAAGGGAAAAATCCCACAGCCCCAGTCCTGGAAGAGGCTTTCAAGCCAGCTTTCACCTGTATACTGAGCATGACGTTGTAAGATATAGAATATTCTATTGGCCAGTTTGGGTCCATTGTTCTGGCTGTGCTCCCTCTCAGGTTCTTGTGTACCTCAGGACATGGGAAGTTGAAAAGTCCTGGATTTCTTAGCAACAACTAAAACCACCAGTGTGTTATCAACATTCTTCTCATACCAAATCCCGTGCTGAATCCAAAGCACAGCACTATTCTAGCTACTAAGAAGGGAAATGAGCTCTATCCCAGCCGAAGCCAGGACACACATGGTCTTCACCAAGGTACCTAGCCAACAGAGCAGTGCTGCTTTGAGGAGAAATCTTTTTATCTGTAATCATTGCTCTGATACAGACGTGGTGTTGGCATTGTTTTTTCTTGTACCTCCTCTTTCCTTGAACAAGCTCTGCTGTTCTAATCGCTTTCCCCTTTGGGATGTTGTGCCATTATTTAAAGTGACCCAGCTGTTGTACTGACAAGATTTAAAACCAACAGTTATGCTCACTGAAATATATACGTGTTCATTTAGTTTCACCCTCGTTTCCACACCACAGCCTGGTCTCACACAAATGCTCTTTCAAATAAAGCAACTCGACAGAAGGAAAAGCGATGAAGAGTAGCCAACATGCAGAGGCTTGCTGGTGAGATCACATGTGACTCCTCAAACTTAGGGTACCAGCAGGCTCCCACTAAAGCTAATACCAGTTTTGCACAGGACTCAGTGAGTGGAGGATCAGAGACAAAATGTGGCATCAGGCAGCTGTGACCAGGATCTGGTCCAAAGCAGCAGAATTTGGGGTTTTTTAACAGGGGAAGTTTCTGTGATGGAGCAATAGACTGTAGAACCCTACTTGGTTTGCTACTGTTTCCCTGAGCACAAGCATCTTAGAGTATACTTTCCTGAACTGAAAATTAAGACTTTATAAAAAATATAAAGCTGTGATTCTATTAATGTAAATCACTATTTTTTCAAAGCACAGGGTCGTATTTCTATTGCTGATAAATGCTGACAGCACTGCAAGTCTTGATGAACCACGGCGTACCTCAAAAGATAGATCCATAGTCTGTGTGGTTATTTAAATTCAGTGTGAGTTTGCAAGAGGTCCAGCTGTTTAATGTCACTGGGTAGAGCTAAGCTGCAGTATGCTACCTGATAAAATAATTATTTCAATTTTTCCAGGAAAGAAAGGGGAAAAAAATCATCCTAATGGAATCCCCATAGCATTTTTTTCTATGGTTTTCAATGCTAAGCTTCTTGCTGCTCTAGGCCCTGAACTTACAGAAATTAAACCTTTTCTCCTCTTCTTTTTTTTTTTTTTTTCTCAGGAAGAGATCTGTCCTAGAGTAGAAGATGAAGGCACTCAGTCCTGCCTCTGGGCTTCAGCGGTCAATGTCAGAGACAAGTACATTTATGTGACACAGCCTAAGCAGAACAGAGTAATGATAATTGATATCCAGACTCAGAAAGCTGTGCAGGTACTTACAAGGGGAATGCTTTATTCAGTGATGGTAAAAGACTTTGATATGGGACAAAAAAGTAGATCTTTGTGCAGTGGATCTGCTGACATCACTAAAAAGTTGGGCCTGTGTTGCTTTCACCCTTGGGGTCACACTGTTTGTAACCTCACTGGCAGGGAAAAAACTCCTTTACAGGCTGTTTATCATCATCTTGGGGCTGCATCTGCAGCCAGGCTTGCAGCTAGTGTGGTTAAACAACGCCAAAACGAATTTCTGACTTACGCTTACTGAGCTGCTGCCTGACCTTGGTTATAAGCAGGTTGGGAAGAATGAACTGGTGTGGGTATAATTCAAACAGCAATTGGCCACTGATCTACTGGCTATAAGTACCAGCATAAGATGGAGTGATGTCTAGCTGGAAAATGGCACCAAGCAGCCAGAGCTTTCTCTTGCTGGTGCTGCTGCTGATCCCCGGTTGATTTGAAGGTAATTGTGCAAAGCTGCACAAATGGGTGTAACAGGGGTACGTGGAAGGTCTGCAGGGAACTAATACAATATTTGTCATGTGCATTTGAGTCACTACATAAATACTTATCTCTGATTTTTTTTTTTTTAAGTCCTTGGATGTTGACCCGTTACCAACCAAATTACATTATGACAAGTCCCACGACCAAGTCTGGGTGCTTAGCTGGGGTGACATGAGGAAATCCTCACCAACGCTACAGGTGAGTCCTTACGTGCCTGAGCCTTTGCCCTTCCTTGCCTTGGCACCATCGGTAGCAAACTGGTGGCTGGTTGGCTGCAGGTAATTAACAACATTTAATGGTCTAGTTATAAAGCTGCTCTTTCACTTGCTTATCTAGTGTGTTTTATTCATCCCTCCTCTGACCATCCTCACATCTTTCTCCTGCTGTTTAATTTGTTTTTGAGCAATGACTGTGCCGTAGGCTGGCAGCAGGACTGCTTTCTTGCCAAGGTCTGTTTTTTTTTAAAGCTGATGACAGAGCCAAGTGCCATAAAGTCAAACAGCAAGGGCTGGCAGCTGACTGCGAGCAGTACGAGCCTGTGATGCTCCAAGTCATTTGTGCAGCCTGCGTGAGTGCAACTTCTTTTTAACTTGATTGAGGTCTAAAAGCAGTGGGTACCAGGAAGCCACGAAGAGCATACTTTGTGCATAGAAATCTGTTACTCTTCAAGTTATTGGTCGAGTTTCATTGGAGGTGCAAGTCAGGCCGAGCAACACATTGAAGGATAAGCCTAAGGTAGGGACTAAGTGTGTGGTCACTGCAGCACTGCAACTCATCCCTTACAACATTGCAATGACTTGCGAATTTTTCTGTCTGCAAAGAATTTGGCAGCATTGCATATAAAAGAAGCCTTAAAAGGTTAATGAATTGTACTGTGCCTCAAGATTATTAACTCTTTCAGGATTACTAGCCTAGCACCTTTGTTATGCATTGAGCAAAGCCACCCAGTTCTCCAGGTTGGTAAAGGCATTTATCTCTTCCTATATTCCACATAAGAGAACTCCAGGTTTTCTGCCAGTGGACTAAATAGCTACTTGTTTTCCTTAAACTCTTTTCGTCACTTGTCTCTCACAAGCCTTCAGCCTCCTTTTGAATGATGATGGAGCATAATGTGGTAGAATTGTTCATTTCATAGTAAAATGCATCTCTAGGGTATGAAAAAAGCATAAATGACAAAAGTAAAAGCTCAGGGACAAATTCAGTTATTGGGTGTCAGTGACTCCAGTGGAGGGGTGCCAGTGACGTCCCTGGGGCTGCTCGGCGCTCAGCACCATGAGACCCGCAGTGATACTGAGCTCTCTGAGGCACAGCAATGCACATAGGTTTGGACAACTAAATTGGCTTCCATTTCTGAATTGCCCAGGAGGATTCACTCTTCTGTTGATAGCACAGAAACACTAAGTGCAGCCATCTAATTGGGTGTTTTGCTATTACTGTATGTCGTATGACAGACTTGACACCAGGGGTGATTTGATCCATCCAGACATACCTTTCTCTAGTAATTGTCTCCTGCTGCCCAACCTTTCTGGAAACATGGATGTCGTGTGAATTCTCCCTTCTACCAGAAATGTTTACTTCTACGTCAACATTAAAGCATTCCCCAACAGGCAGAGAAGAAGGATGGCTGTGCTTTCTCACCTAAAAACCTACAAATCTGGAGGCTACATTAGTCATGGGGCTGTCCAAAGCTTTGATGGAGATGCTGCCCTGTGAAGGTGGGACGAGCCATCCCCACCAGCCACATGCTCCATCTGAGATAATGGCTGCAGCCTGCATGCTTTTGGCAATAAAGAATGGACCAGCAACTCAACATGGGCATTTTCAGGAAAAGACACCAGAAACAGAACAGGAGCAAATAAACGAAGGTTGCTGAGGCAATGCCACCAGCTTGTCTCACCTGGGAATGAGCAATTTCCTGTACAGGGCATAAGGAGACAAAATGGGCTCTCTTTACCCTTTCTGATTTAATTTCTTCCATCCAGCTGTGAGAGGTTTCTGTAATTAAAGGAGAGATGGCACAAGCATGTGATTATTAAGAAGAACACACCATCTGCACAGTTGGAAACTTGTTATAAGGCTCCAGCTCTCAGATAGTCCTTTTTGTTATCTTTATGAAGTGCTGTTACACATGTAGAGAATGAGATTAGCATCAGCATCAGCAGATCTTTCCTTTTTTCCAACCTTCTTTCCCAAAAGGTGAGCAGTGACTGATTTGGCAAAGTTTGTTCTTAAAACCTGCCGTGATTAGTTGCAGACAGGCAATAAAATATCTTTTTTAACAAAGATGCCACTGCAGAGGTTGATCTAAATTTCCACTCGTTCTTTGGAAGTCAGGGGATTATCAAACAGCCCATGCAGCCAACTAATGGGATGCTGTTGTTTAGCCATTACTGGCTTGTGGGGAGCAAACGTCTGGCCTTGTGAAAGCACTGTGCAGGAGTGGGCATCTTTCTTGAGCAATCTAATTGGAAGAAATCTAAATGGCACGACCAGAACAGCTGTCTGAACTAAACCTTGTAGGGTTTTAGCATTTCCTTAATGAATTATGTAGCTATAAATTCAAAGCAAGTACTGTTGCACATTAGAGCAGCAGAAGTTCCTGATGAATGGACTAAAGTCATCTTGAACCAAGGAAGCAATTTGAGTATTTAACATCTTAATTATTGAAAGCTTCTAATTCTCCTTTTCCGGAACGGTGGAGGAGCTGAGCTCCCGTGGCCATGGGGGTGTGGGCTGTGCTGGAGGACAGCACGGGGGGGCACAGCCAAAGGGCCTTTCTCTGCTCCTCCCTGAATTTTATATAGTGCGGTAGATGGCTGAACAGTTATTCTCCTTTGGAGTGGTAATTAACTGCTGTGGGTTAGTGTTTGATCCTTCAAAGTGGTAAATTATTGCTGTGCATTTAAGTGAGATTAATAAATATGACCATGAAATAAATGTTTATTTTAGACAGTGAGGAATAAATTATTATGGTCTTACTGTTGTCATACTGCTTCAGCTCCTGCATGACTGCTCTTTCTCGGGATATAAACTTCTTATGAAAGTCAAGTTATATACTTACCTTACAAATGTCAAGATTCAAATACTATTTGTTAGCACACCTTTTTCAAGACAGCTACACCAAACAATATTTTGAAGTCATTAATCAATTTGAGTCTATTACATCCCTAGGAAAAGCCACTCAGTACCGTGTGTAAGACTGTAATCTGTATTTACTTTTCTGCCTTACTCGCTGCTTTTCCTGTACTCAACCTTGTGTGTATTTATTGTAGGTAATACCAGAGGCAAGCGCAGGGGGGGATCAGCATGTTATCCGCACACCGTTTGAAGGAGTGGATGATTTTTTTATACCACCTACAAATCTTATTATTAATCACGTTAGGTAAGAGATGATCCTATCAAATAGCAACACTGACCATGCGGCTCTCCTCTAGTTGTCATCCTTCTAATAATACAGAACTTTACAAATGTGAATGAATGAATTCATGATTAAACTAACTACTCTTATCCCCATTTTCATGTGTGAAATGGAAAAATGGTTGAGCAAATTACCAATAGCTGTTCAACGAATCAATGAAACTGCAAGAAGCAAACCTGGACTTCACTTAGACCATGCACGGGCGTTCAAACCTCAGCTTGGTCAGCCTTGACTCCTTGCAGCAAAGTATGACACACTGCCCTGGCTTGCTTATGCCAGAAATTTGATGACCAGAAAGTTGCCCTTCCTGCCTCAAAAACAGCTTTATGGATCTGGGCAGAAACCTGTGTCAAAGATTTATTGCCTGAAGTGGTAAAAGTTTATTCTGCCTGTAGCATAAAGCATGGTTCTTCCATGTGTTTCCAACTTGTTCAAATATTGGATCTCTGTGTGAGGTTTACGGTTTGAGCAGCAAAATGGTATGCACTGCATATTAAAAAAAAACCCACCTCTATGAACCATCAGCTTTGAATGTTAATGTGATATAGTGGTTAATGAGATTGTATAACTAACATACTAATAACTTGGAGTAATACTGGCTGCTTCCCAGCAGGCACAGGAAGCCTCCCATTAACATTATCAAAATTGATGATAACTGCACAGCAATTTATACTTTTCTTGCCATGTTATAACGTAACAACTGTTTAACCATCTTCTGTCCCCAATATAGTTTAACTAAGTTAAGCACTCAAAAAATCATAATGTAACTCTGTACATTAATCTTAGGTTCCCTGCAGTGAACACTGAGAACAGGGGGGGGTCACACTTAAATGATTATGTGTTGAATCTGATCCAAAATAAATAACTTTGCTTCCTGAAACACGAAATAATGAGACATACTTCATGGCTGTCACTCTTAATTTTTCCCTACCTCATTTTTGCAGTTTGCATTCAAAATATCATTATGACTAATAGTAGTGCCAGGGGGCAGATGACTCTGCCGAATGTTAAAGCCTGAGATGAGAGGGTATGGTCTGGGTTCAAAGAGGAAAAGGTGGAACAATTACACTTTTTCTGGTTTTATTGTCTTCTTGCTTCAGTGTGATTAATTGGCTGTGTACAGATGATCTTCCAAAAGAAATATTAAATGTAGATAATTGTCTATAGTTTTCCATGTGCAAAGCAGAGAATGCTGTGCCTAATTTCCTATTTCATTTGTTCAGGGCCAGATCTTTGTCCATTTTTTCTCACCCTCAGCACAGAAAAATAATTGCTCACAGTCTAATGAGACTTACTGAGATCATGTTCTAAATTTTCCACTCAGAAACAATAAATGGCAATACCAGCATTTCCCAGGAAGGTGAATATTTAAGCAATCTCTTCCACGAGCCAAAAAATATTTGTGTGCAAATGTTCCTGAATATGTATTTCAGCAGCCTGTTATTTCAGATGGATATCTAGGAACGTATCCATTTTTATTAGTTCCCAGGGTAGATTGTTGTCTATTAAAACTCTCTAAGTGCAAGGTTTTCTTTGAGATTTCAGATCACAGATTTCATGCAAGCATTGCGCCTCTTCTGCAGCTGTGTGCACATAAAACACATTCTGACCCACTTTTTTAAATTAAAGTTTATGATAAGAGCCATTTTTTAACTTCTTCAGGCATTTAGCCAAGTATTAAGAAAGTGTTGGGAAAAAAAATGCTGTAAGGGAAGGCATTTTTTAAAGTGTTCTTAAAATGCATTCATCCAGGAGAAATACAAGTGTCATATCCAATTTCCCCACACACAGTGCACTCCGATTCTCCACTGCAGATATTTTCTGAAGTCTCTAATGGATTTGAGTGTAATGGGAAGATGAAAGGCTTAGCCCAGTGATTTTCATGGGATCATACACTACATTGGCTGGTTCTTTAGAAGTGAAATCATTGCCGAATGTCTCATTGAAAGATGGATTAAGAATAAGGAAATAGACCCAGTGTTTTAAGCAAAATATATACTATCTACACACAAGCACATTGTCCTCCACATTTCACAAAGCAGTTTTACATCTTTCGGGGAAGAGATACAAAACTAAGCACTCACTTCATTTCCTTCTGTCTGCATTGAATGGATGAAAAGATACTCGATGTAAAATTAGTTTTTGTAAGTCAGTATCAGTGACCTGTGAATCGAGGGGAACACAAACAGGCTGTTTCTATGGGCTCCCTCTCAAATTAAGCAGAAACCTTTCTTGGCTATTCTTGACCTTTTCTTGTCTTCAGCAAAGGTCAGATGTGCTGCAGCATATATCTTTTACAGAACATTTATTCTCTGCTCACTGTTGTCTGCCCTCTCTTGAGACAGAAAACAAAGACCCCTTTTCTTCAGTGCGCCCTGGCTGGTTATGTTCCTTGAGAAATGTTTTACACCTTCCTAGGGCTGGCGGGATGGTGCTTAACAAAGCCTGCTCTACACCTCAGCCTTGCCAGCTTCTGCAGTGGTCCCCAGGCTCCACGGGTAGCAAACACACATCACAGCTACCCTCTGGTGCTGTAATTTAAGAGATGAAGTTAGACATGGTCTTCACTCAGTGGTTATACATACAGCTCGAAGTTGCTCTCTGGCCCCAACCTGGCAACGATATGCTTTACTTTGAACAGTTTTCTATTTTGAGATTGAAGAAGTGTTGAGTATATATTGAATTACATCTCTCTAGACCTGAAACAGATTAAATGCAAAACTGGTCAACACTAGCCTACAAAACACCCAGGCCTCAATACTTGATATCGTTCCTATTGTAAATTGGTCTTCCCAATAAAAGGCTTGAGCTCTTGAAGATGTCATTCAAATACCCAGGCACATATTCAAGCTTCCAGGCTCAGGTTGCTAATTTTAACTGAAATATATCCCTCCTTTTAGCACATTTTAGAAGCACTGAAACAAGAGAGTTTTCTTACAGAAAAGAGACAGCATTATTGCACACGCTTCCGAAACCAACAGGATAGAGTTTCTCAATTCTGCTGACTTTTCGTCTTTTCTCAAGCATATCACCATGTCTCCAGAGATGACTTCAGTGTCATGTTTTCTATTTCAGGTTTGGCTTCATCTTTAACAAATCGAAATCCGCAGTTCACAAAATTGACCTGGAAACTGTGACCCACATCAAGACTATCAGCTTCAAAAACTATAGCTGCGTACCGCAGACCATGGCTTATACCCACCTGGGTGGTTACTTCTTTGTCCAGTGTAGGAGGAATAGGTTGGTGGCTGTGTCCCCGCAGCTCGTTATTGACAGTGTTACCGATGCTGTCATCGGCCCCAACAGCGACGTGTCGGGCACACCTTACATCTCACCGGACGGACGCTATTTGGTCAGTGCGGATGAAGACAGTGGCAGGATCAAAGTCCAGGCTCTAACTGTCCGAGGGGAAATCAACTTGATTTATGACTTACAAACAGATATACATGTATCTGATCTGACATTTCAACCCTCTTTCACTGAAGGCAATCAGTACTATATATATGCTACTTCACATTTGCAAACAGATGTGCTTTTTGTAGAGCTGTCAACGGGGAAAATGAATGTACTGAAGAATTTAAAGGACCCTATCACATCCAAAGACTGGCCCTGGAGCAACTACAACAGAATTATGAAAGACAGTGGATTATTTGGACAGTATCTCATTACACCAGCTAAAGATTCATTGTTTGTTATAAATGGGAGGCAAAATACGTTACGCTGTGAGGTTTCAGGTATAAGGAGGGGTAACACAGTGGTCTGGGTTGGAGAGGTATGAAAGGGCAAGAACAGTAGAGCCTTCAGTAGGCAAGTGCCAGTTGGACCTTTACACTGCAACAATTGAGCAGTAGCATTGTATATTTTTACACTGGGAGAAAAAAAAAAAAAAAAAGAAAAAACAAAAAAACCCTGTATAGGCTTCATGGTACAACACTGGTCTACTTGCAAGTTTTATAATATAAGGTATGCTCTGCTAATAGGAAGTGGTTTTGAAGGGATATTTTTTATTTAGGGGTATGATTTGTGGTTATGAGAAAAATGCTGGGAAGCGAATAATATCTCCACTGAGATATCGTATAAGCCACGAAACCTAGTGATTCTGTAGAACAAAACAGATTTTGAGTTTCCATACTGAAGAGATTTTATGTTATGTTCAAGTCATCAGTTTTCTTTCCTGTATACCTTGCCTGTTAGCTGTGCTGACTAACCCACTCCGACACAGAGAGGCTACAGAAGCAATGACAGCAGTTAAAATTCACCTTTGGGTGATGAGGGAAACTAAGCATCAGAGAGCAGTTTTCAACCCATAGAAACCTAGGAGAGCGATTTAATGAAAACTGATCAGTTTTCTCTGCAAGATGACTTTGAGAGGATTCACAAATGTGATTTCAGAAGGAAGGCATAACAGAAATAGTAACTGTCAGCTCGCTTTCTTCTGCGCTTAATTTTGCTCTTGGTAATACTGAAGGCAATGTTGTGATTGACCCCTCTTCTAATGCATATTTGTGTGATTGTATTTGAGAAATTTGGCATGAAATAACCAGGCCATTAGAGTGGGTAAAAGCCCCACTGAGGGCGGGATCAGAGTTTGTAAAAAATTTTGTTGGGAAGGGGGCATTAGGCTTTCAGCAGCTTGTGAGTGCGGTCAGCTTGGACACAATATGCAAAATCTGCTCTTCCAGGGCAGAGAATTAGTTACAGTTATTCCCATAGGAGGCAGCAACACTTCTAGAAACTGTTGGTTTCTCTCATTAAATATTTAGTAGCGCTGAAGTCACTTAGTTCTTCATAAAATAATAGCTACAATGACAGAGGGTATTTTTAATAGAAAACTCACTCATTTTCTAGTCATAGCCTTAATTTGCCTATTTCTTTTCAGACATCCTGGGAAACAGTTTTTCTTTGAGATTTTTTTTCTTCCCATTTATAGTACACTTGTTTATAGTCAATTATCTTTTAGTTATGGGCGAAGAGATTCATGTAAAACCAGCTGAATTACCCTGGAATGCAACAGCTGGTCTTGAGAAATTTCAGTTGAGTTCCCATAAAAATATAGAACCATTTGCACATTTGGAAGATATAAAAACTTTTCTAGTTGTGTTTTTGTAACTTTCTGCATCCATCGCCACAAAGCAATCAGGGCAAGAGCAGCTGTGGCTCTCAAAACGGTGCAAACCAGGTGAGCATCGCTGCCACCATGAATGGGCTCATCCAAGCAGTGGTACCTCACACAGTGCTTTGAAATTGTGGTCTTGAGGTGGGTGAAATCTCTTTCTGAAGGTCAACATCTGTTGCATCGGAGCCACCCATCGGCCTTTCGAAAGACCTGGCTTAATTCTGCAAATGACCTCGTTGCCCAGAGTTTGTATGAAAGCAGCTGCTGAGCGCATCCAGTGATATGTACTGGCACAGTGATTGTTTTCCAACACAGATGCTTAAAATCACCCATTTCACAATTCACACAGAGGGATTTTAGGTGAGAAGGATGCAGACTAACACTGGTAATTTTTGCTTTAAATGTTAAACTTTACCAAAAGAGTAGCATTTTAGCATGGCTGTAGACCTGAAGTAATTTAAACCATTTCGGTTCTATAGAGAATATATAAAAATCTGTTCAGACAGACGAAGAAGGGGAGCTGAATCCTATGAATTCATTAAACATGGAGTCCTTGAAGTTGCCCTTCAACACCCAGAGGCTGAAACCTACATTTCTTTTCACTTATGAGCCATAGGGGTTAGAAGAGACTATCCCATCATTGCAACACAGACATAGAAAACAGATTGGCATAGCCTTCCTTTAGCAATGCATGGTGTCCATGATTTTCTACTCATCTGGTTAGGAAACATACCCATGTCAAGGAAAGGAGAAGACCAGCTTTGTAAGTACCTTTAAATATGCACAACTCCTTTCTTGAACAAAGCTGTATCCATACATTGCAATCATCCTAAATGTGTTTTACCAAGGCCAGACACTGCTCTTGTGTTATCTTTTATGACTTCTTGAATATTTTATTATGCCTATGGTAAGTTTCCCTGTAGAGACGTTCATTGTGTCATAGATCAAGCAAATATTACTTTTTTAAGAATATTAAAAAAAAAAAAACTGTATATATCTGTTCAGGTAAATATTCTTGAGGCTGGTTTATATATAGGCTGTGAAAGATGTGTAACAGACCTCACTTCTTCCTGTTTGTCGCAAAATATTGGAATAGCGTTCACTTGAAAAATCCCACTTGGACCTTCCAAAGATGTTCCCTTTCTTCCCTCTTCAGCCCAAGTTCTGGTGATGTGTTTTCTAAATTATCCTAATGGTTATATATCATACTTAGAAAATGAAGTACAACTTAGATTGTCCACACTACTTGTGAACAGTTCCAATGACAGTCAAATCTGACATTAAAGTGCTGCACATTTGTTACTCTGATTTTACTTTTTTTATGACACAGATCTTTTATATATACTCAAAAAATGTTTCAGCTCATTTTTGCCTTTCAACTCTGTCAAAAAGAGACTACATTTCCTTGTTTGCAGTTTCTTTCCCACTCCCTTCGTGTTCTCCACTGATTCACAATTAATTCATAGCTAATAAATTAATTAATCACAGTGATTAATTGAAATGAATTTAAATTGAGTTAATGACCATTTAGTTATTCTGGATATTCTGACACTAGAATCATGGAAAAAATAGTCCCTGGTTGTCAGTAGGACTCTAGTCCCAAGATCAGATGCATTTTCTGTTCATTGCTGGGGTTAAACAGCAGTATAATGGAAATACTGTTTTGACTTAGTATTTCCCTCAGTATTTTCAATTTCTGAATGAGTGAGAGTTTTTACTTAACAACTTTAACTATGCATTTCGGTGACTATTTAGAAACCATCCACTGTTCTTTTAAATTGGAGAGAAAACTCACAAGTGCCTTAATTTGGAATCTGTGACAATAAGTAAGATATCCTTATCATCTAATGCTCCAATTTTTTTTTCTTTTTTTTTTACCACTGCAAAAAAAAATCAAAAAAAGTCCCAAAAGATTTTGGTAAGCAGAGGTGAGCATGCCTGCAGGATGGGTGGGAGATGGGAACCTGCCAGGGCTGCTCGGTCACCCTTGCAAAAGGGGCTCAGCGAGGGGGGCATTGAACACCCTGCACCACCTTGCAGCAGTCGGGCCGTTTGGCTGTGTTAACCTCTGTGGCCACAAGAGACACACGAGTCCTGGTGACCTGTCGACAAGTACTTATTTACTTGATTTATACCATGATTAAGTCTTAATTACTGGAGTGCCCAATAGTGTGCTAGGTACAGATAAAAAGGCCAAGATCGCAATTCTGTGAGGAGATAACAGCTAATTCCCCGTATGACCCTGCAGCAGGCCAACAAAATGAACAGAAAAGTGAGAACTGAGGGGGAGACGTAAGAGTTGACATGAATGCAATAACCTGGTTATTCCTCAAAGATACAGGCACGCCATGATGTCTGTATGTTTTTTTTTTCCCTAACGCCCCCTTTGTCCCTCCCCATTCAGGCCTTTATTTTAAGTGAATGTCCCTAGGGTTACACGTATACTGTTGGTCTTCATTCCCTGTCTGCTGCATATCCTATGACTCTCCACCTCCTGCTCAGATAATTTCTCCCTTAGGAAACCTGGGGGTATATCCCACTTGTTCTAACAAGGTGCATCCCAAAAGGCGAGCAGCCAGCGCTTGCTTTCCGCACTGGGTAACAGGTCCCACTCTACCTCCCATCCAAAACTTGCATTTATTGCCCGGCTCACCGCTTTGCACATTTTCTCTTGGGCCAACAAAAAAAATAAAAACAACCAAACCAACCCCAAGCCCCTTCAATATAGTTAGGTTATGGCAAACAAAGCAGAGATCAATGTTACATTTACCTCTTCTAGTGCTGCTACTTGCTCCCAAGAGCTCATCCCCGTGCAGCCCCGCAAGCGTCCCCTCTGCCCTCCCTCGCACAAACCCCCCACTGCCAGCCGTGTGCTTTCATGACAGGTACCACCAGTTGCTGTTCCACAAAGGCTTTGAATTCCTTCCCAAATTTCACCCCTCCTTCCCACTTCATGCACCTCTACCCTGGTACTGCAACACCATGGTGTCTACCACCCAGAGCTGCCTGCTTTACCCTATCCTCACTGGAGCAAGAGATCTCTTTTTTTTTTTTTTTTTTTTTTTTTTTTCCCCCCCTTGTTATTTTTTGAAGCAGACTGAAATAAAACACGAGGGTAATCACTTCATCTGGAGACCAGGAAAACCCCTGTGTTTCTTTTGCATAAGAGATGCTGTGACCGATATTTGGTGTTGGAGACAGGACAAATTCCCAGCCAAGCACAGTGAGCCTGGGAGGAGAGCTAAAGGAAGAAAAAGACACCTGAAATGTCACCTTTCTTTTTAACCTGCCTCCACAAGAACCTTGGTTCTTTTTTAACACTAATCTCTAAAAATAAAGAATAAAATAGCAAGGCTATGAGGATTTCTTTCAAATGACCCTGAAAACAGAGAAAAGCGACAGGCAGGCAGGAATCTCACCTCTGCTGGCATCTGGTAAAAATCAGGCTGTCCCCAAAATGCAAAGGCACTGACTCAGGGCTTGTGCCCGGGCTGGGGCTGTGTGATGAAGGCGGCTGCAGATACAGAGCTGCAACTACGACTTTATTTTTTAATTGCGTGCAATGCGAGCTGGCTGTTGCAGCCCAGCCTGATGCATTTGCCAAAATACCTTGGATGCTGAAATCCCACGGCTGCCCAGTACGATGAGGTAGGATTTACAACCCTTACAGGCAGAGCAGGATGGTTTGAGCATGACCAGTGCTACTTGTTATGTTCTTTGCAATCTACTCTCTGCACCGGCTGAATTGATGCCCATAACTCAGTTCAGCAGCGTGTACAGCATTAAAGGTCGGCCCCGCGCAGCCCGGTGGGAAGATGTACCGGTGCCTTTGCACACTGCTGTTAATGACCCTCAGCGCCTCGGCACAGGCTGCTCGGGTAACTTACAGTCCTCACAGACATGACTGGCTGGTAAAGAAGCTCTGTTTGCCTTCGTTTTTTTTTATTCCTCCTTGTAATTGTTTGTCTCCCATTGCAAGGAAAAAAAAAAAAAAAAAAATTCCTGAAAAAGGAATGAAAGCTCATGCTAGTAGCACAAAACTCAGACCTGAACAAAAGGTTCTTGCATGTCTCATCTTATGTTTGGGAAACATGGGGGACTGTGGGGCATATTCTCCAAATACTTGTAGTTGCAAGGCAAAAAACAAGACCAAAAAAAAAAGTAATTATTTATTTTAATCAGTGGCCAATACTAACTTGAAGAAAAAATTAAAAAAAAAAAAAAAAGCACCCTGCTGTGGTGCTTCTACCATGCAAATTGCTGTGGCCTAGAAGCTTGTTTAATTAAGCACATCAGCATCTAACCCTTGGCAGTCTATGGTGTCTTTGACACTTGTCCAAAGCCATCGGATAAAGGCAGTAAGCACAGCAGAGAGCAAAAAGCTGGCTGTATCTGGTAAACAAGACAAGCACTAAATCAAACAAGAAGCCCATCCCAATTTACAAAGGTCAGAGCACTGGCATTTCCAGAAGTAAAACTTCAGTTCCTGTATTATCAACGGTTTCTCCCCGCCACGTGAGGCCGTGCGTGGCTGATGGCCATCGAACGCCCAACCCAAGAGCCGGGCGCTTGCCAGGTCCCCTGTAACGTGCAGCAAGAGGCTGCGGTGACGACCGGCTCCTCAACCGCCCAGTTATCCCGGCAGAGCAGGGAGTGGAGCGATACCTGAAGAGGAGATTTCATTTTTTTTACTGCAAGGAGTATTGAAGAGGGAGAGTTCTTCATGTTTTATTTAAGGCCATGGTAAACTCAGTGTTAACTATCTTCCAGAAAGTGGAGGGAAGTTTCTGCACAGGGAAGAGCATAATTTCTATGGGGGATTTGCTTTGAGGGCTTGCAAAGCCTGATCTGAGTTGAGTCAGGCAGGGACACCAGGCTGGCACCTTGGACACTGACATTTCTTTCCCTTAGGCAGGTCCAACCAAGCTAGAAAAGAGTAATAAGGCATTGCCTAGCAATTTTTATTTTTTCAAACAACTGTATTATCTCCTACTTTCAACCCTCATCTCTTTTAGCGTAGCTGCACCCTGCAGGCCAGTACCTACTGTACCTACTGTAAGCAGTTTCTGAGCATTAGGAATGCAGAATTTTCCTAACATCAGCCCTCGACACCCTGTTGTGCAGACAATTCAATATGAGCAGTTATATTATATTTCTCTGTATTTGGACTGTTGCACTGGGCTCCAGTCTTATTTTTACATGGAATTAAAGACAACTCCTTTGAATTATAGTGTCAAAAATATTGGTGAACCAGAAGTAGAGGCTAACTACCGGCTTATTAATTACCCTCACTAGCATCACTTCCTTTCAAGTGGCTGATCCAAAATGGTCTATATCCCACCTGACAGCTAAGCTTCAGGTTGTTCTCTTCATCCAGATCATCAGCACATCCAGGCCTAGTGCAAATAAAATTCCCTGCTGTGTTGAGCACAGCTGAACTCCTCCAGGATGATACCACGTATTGACGCAGGCAACAGGCTCCAGCGAGCCCCGCTCCCTCGGCAGTTTTCCAATTCCGGAGCTTGCTCAGCAAAAATTTAGCTCTGTATTAAACACAACTTCAGCTTTGAAGCTGGCTGACTCTGGCATCCAACCATTGGCACGCAGGATGCCATCTTTATCCCATAGACAAAATTACTCAGTATTTCCTCTCTGTAAAATTATTTCAATCCTGTAGATACATCAGATTTCTTAAGCAGATTTTATTCTCTCAAGGCAAGGCATTTTCTCAAGCCTGAAAAGTCTTTATGTGATTCTTTTTTCTTTTTTTTTTTTTTATATTTTCATATCTTCCATAGCCTTCATTTTTTAACAGGGGAAGGGGATGCAGTCAAGTTTGTAAATAACATCTCGGTGTGGCTTTGCTCTTTCTCCCCTCACGTGGACCACATCGGCAAAAATCACAGTGGCAATTTCTAAAACAAATAGGGCAGGAAAAATGCTGGAGTGGAAAGCATAGTACTGCCCTGAATTGCTACCACCACCAAAGAAATATGGACCTGTGGCATGTGCTGTGGCCAGCAAGACTGGAAAATTGTCCAGAGCCTACTGCCAATTTAGCTGAAGTGTCTTGCATTAAGCTAAAAATTGTCTCCATCAGACACTTAGTGTCCAGCAGAATAAAAAGAGAGCCTTGTTGTAAATATAAAGGTTTGGAGCAGCAGTTTCTGTGTTAAACGTGCAGGATCCAGTGCTGGTGGTCCATGGCTGGTCCTGCCCTGCACCCATCCGGTGGCTTCGTCCAGCCCCACGTGCCAGAGCACCGAGCCTGGCACTACCATCCCCACAGCTTGTTCAAACAGGCACTT